GCATAATTTCAAGTAAATCCGATCAAAACAAAGGATGAAATGGATCACTTTCATGTTCTGCATTGGTTGTGTGTGTGTGTTTGTAAAATTGCACAAATGTCACACATCATACATAAACGGGATTTACTTCAGCCTTGATGAAATGTTTCATAAAGGACATAACTGCTGCCATGAAAAAAAAGAAAAATACTGCTAGCGCCTCGGGTTATAATTGAACCACCTATAAAAACACTGCACAATGAAAATCAAGAAAATGAAAATTTTCAAAAAAATGCAACGAGAGGAAAAACAGCCAGTGGTTGAGGTAGGGAGGGTGCTGTGGTCTGCAACAATGATTGCCTCAAGGTGCTTTTTATTTGTACGGTAAAAACTCTGCAATATTAGAGCGAAAACCATAACAATGAGATTATCCTTTATGAGCAAGCACTTGTTGAAAGTAGGGAGAAGAAACTTCCTATTAACAGGAAGAAACCCCCAAAAGGGTTAGAGCAGTGGTTCTTAACCTTGTTGGAGGTACCGAACCAGTTTCATATGTGCAGTCACTGAACCTGTCATGGTGAATTGGGTTAAAGGACTCAGGTGCGAGACTCCTTGCAGAGTGACAGTGAATTTATTCACAGTGAAAAAATAAATCAACAGTTCGAGTCTGTAATCCAAAAAGGCAGTGCAGTAATACGGTGGCTTCTCCCCATGGTGACAGTGCAGTGACAATCCAAAACAACTCCTTGTGCACGCTCCTCCTCCGATCCCTGGATCCTGGAGGCAGATGAGAAAAACACACGCACAGTAACGAAAACGTTCTCTCTCCTTCACAAACTAGGTATGCTAATCGCGACTACGCTACCCGGTTTAGCTCAACGTTCCAGCGTTGGTTGTGACTCGACCGCACCGTTAAATAGGTCTGCTTCGGATTAGTAGTAGCCGGCGAAGTGATTAAGCACAGGTGCGACAATTCCAGCTTAGGATACTCCCCCCGGGTCAGCTGCCGTTTCGTGCCACGGCTTCCGGAAGTACACGTTCCAGCATGCAAACACACATGCACAGGATGGAGAGGAAAACACCACAAAGTACACACAAACACAACAAAAATTGGCAAGGCGACTGGTGAGGACCATCTAGCCGTGACAGAACCCCTCTTTAATGAAAAATAAAATATGATTTTTTTTTACAAATTCAAGACATAGATATGTTTTTTACTGGTGCACAAAATGAGCTGTGCATGTCAAGGCGGAGGCTCTGCCAAACCCCTGAGACTGATTCACCAAACCCCTTGGGTTCGATCAAACCCAGGTTAAGAACCACTGGGTTGGAGGATTAGAACTGTCCAAACTAGTCTTATTGTTAAGATGTCAGATACAGTGCTCCCGTCAATGCCACTGCTTTGTTCATGGTGCTCTTTCGTAAAGATACACCAGAATAAATTACTAAGTTTTTGTGCAAATTCAACACGGAAGATCTGTAATCACTCATTTTGCTGCTTTCTGCTTTACATCACTACCACTCAAAACACTCAAACTCAAAACTGACATCATTACACTAGTCCAGTTTCTTTGAGCCAGTCAGCCTCTACTCCATGTGGTTTAAATTTCACTGCTTTACCATCATTCTCCCTTTCAGACTCGTTCATGCACCTCAGGTCCATCTGAGCCTTCATCTTCATCTTGACCATCACCAATGTCTAGACCCTGAGGGATACAACCTTAAATTTTGTCACTGCTGGGATCCCATTCTGGCATGATGGCATCGTCGTCTAATCATGTTTTGCTTTAGGCACCCAAGTGCTTGGTTATATTAGGAAAAGGCTTGTGGCTTGAGTTGATATACAGCCATATTTCAACAACATCAGTTCTTTTTTTTAATTGTGAACCAAAAAAAATGCTAGGGATGAGCTAGGGTTTGGTCAAATGTACCATAAGAGAATGGTAAGAAAAATAGTAATAATAGTAATAATAACATAAAGGTGACATGAAAATAAAAATAACCCTCACCCAGTTGTTGTTTAAGACCTACTTTTGGCTACTCATTGGCAGATTTGTACACCAGATGCCTTTCCTTATTGTTATAGTGACTTAGACAAGTAAAACCTTTCTGGTTCAACCCAGAGAGGAGAGGCATACAGTATAATCCAAGCCAGTGGTAACATTGCTGTAAGTGCATGAAGACTATTACAGAAATTACAAATACTTTACTTGTGGTTGAGACATACCAAAGTTAGCAGAAGCATTGTAATGAGCAAAAATGACAGACTGGGGCAGCTGTGCATTCTTTGTTTGAAAAAATAGCAATGGAAAAATATTTTCCATGGTGACATCAGTAATGTAAGAAAAGCCTGGACAG